AAAAAATTATAAATCTCGGTAGTCACTACCTCGGTAATAATTGTGCAATACAACAATCAGGTGTGGGAAAAGGGTTTTCAATCACCAGCCGGTGTATTGATTAGGTGTTTCTGTGTACTAAGTGTACATGGTTTGTCCAAACAAACCTCTTATTGATGTGACAATCTATTCAAAGACACCAATCCAAATATAAATGACTCGGTGTCACAGATTGGTCGTGTATAAGAAAAACAAAAACAAAATTCTAAAATCCCAATCTCTAAATCGTGACGAATTTTAAATATAATACGAACACTTAAATAATAGAAATTAAAACAGTATGAAAAATTATCACGTATACAGTGCTACTCCGTGCACTCTGATTCCTCTCAAAGACAAAGATTAAATGCAGGGTTAATTTAACTAAAATACCGGCATCGATCTTAGTGAGCAGTCAGTTCAGAGTGGTCAGTTCAAAACGTCTCAAACCAGGGATAATTCATAGAATCCGGAAAGCCCTATGGTTTCTTGTGGTACGTCCTCCTTTCTCAAAAGATCTGGTCTGGTTTTTTCCTCCCTCTGGCAGGCTCCCTCACCTCTCGCTGGGGACGGAAACCTATTAAGATCTCGCAGGGGGAAAACCCTTTTCCCACACCTGATTGTTGTATTGCACAATTATTACCGAGGTAGTGACTACCGAGATTTATAATTTTTTTTCACAGTAGAATCTGAACTTAGTAACTTCTTCACGTCCTATAGAGCACACAAATTTAATTTATTTATATTTGTCGAGACCGAGCGCAACTCACTTGCGTTATAATAAGTTCACTTACACACATAGTTGCGGCTGGTCGAACTAATTATTTAGTTTTCACAGCTAGCGCAGTGATTCTTGAATTACTATAATCTGTACAGATCAGTTAAAAAAACAAACTGAAATAGTTTGGAAGGGGGAGAATACAATATCGTGACTACATAAGGGTACACATCCTTACAATTAGGGTTGTGGCTGTGTTCAGAATTGGTGGCTCACATTCAAACAGATGTTAAATAGTAGTCAGTACATACCTGCAATCAATTAAAGTGATTCCAATTAAGCCCATAAAAAGTTCAGCTGTTCTAGTAAGATATACCGTATTTTTCACTCCATAAGACGCACTTTTTTCCCCCCCAAAAGGCTTGCAAAAATGTCTGTGTGTCTTATGGAGCGAATCCCTATCGCCCGATGCCTGGGACATGCATTTTCGGGCGCCGGGCGAGTTGTTTTTTGTACATTTAGCCCTGTTCCGGACCAGCAGAGCTAAATGTACAGTGGGAGCCGCTGCTCGTTTAATACAAGTGATCTAATCAGATCACTTGTATCAAATCGAGCGGCGGCGGCGATCATGTCCGGGGTCCTCCCTGCCGTGGTTTTCGGGGTCCCCCGCTCCTCTGGGGGACCCGTGACCCCGTCATAGGAGCTCACCATAAAGCCCACAGAGCAGACGAAGAACGGCCGTTCTTCGTCTGCTCTTTGTGATCACCGAGACCGTGGTGCTGTAATCACAGCGCCACCTGTCTCAGCTGTCACTAACTACACAGAACCCTACACTGCCTGCGTCCTATGGTCAGGTGCGCCTTATGGAGTGCAAAATACGGTATTTGGCATTTACTTAGTTGCCTCTTACAGCAAAACCCATGGTCTGCAAAGAGCTTACAAAAAGCATGGACAGCATCTCATTGTTGGAAGGTATCAGTCAGAAGAAAGATACAAAAAAGTCCAAGAAATTAGATATACAAATGGAACACAGGGAAGACGGCCATCAACAAGTTGAGAAAATATGGTACAACAGTGAGATTATCAAGAACTGGACGTTCCTCTAAAATTGATGAAAAAACAAGAAGAAAACTGATCCGGGAGGCTGCCAAGAGGCCTACGGCAACAATAAAGGACCTGCAGCAATTTCTGAAAAGTACTGGGTTGTGTACTACATTGTAGTGTACTACAAAATCTCCTGTATTCTTCATCCGTCTGTGCTGTGTGGTAGGGTGGCAAGATGGAAGCCTTTTCTTACTAAGAAAAACAACCAAGCCTGGCTACATTTTACAAAAATCTACACCAAGTCTGACAAAAGCATGTGGAAAATGTGTTATGGTCTGATCAGCCATAATTCTAAAAAGTATGTTTGCTGCAAAAACAAACACTGCACATCACCAAACGTACACCATACTCACAGTGAAGCATGGTGTTGGCAGCATAATGCTTTGGGCTGTTTTTCTTCAGTTGGAACTGGGGCTTTAGTCAAGGTGGAGGGACCTCTAAACCGTTCCAAATATCACTCAATGGTACAAAGTCAATGACACAAAACTTTCAGGCCTTTGCTAAAAAGCTAAAGATGAATTTAATCTTTCAGCACAAGAAATAACCAAATAATAGCTGCACATCAACAAAATAATGGCTTCACCAGAAGATGATCAAAGTTTTAAAATGGCCAAGCCAGAGCCCGGACCTGAATCCAACTGAAAATCAGTGGGGTGACCTGAAGAGGGCTGTGCACAGAAGATGCCCTAGCAATCTTACAGCTTTGGAGCGCTTTTGCAAGAAGAGTGGCCAAAGATTCCCAAGGCAAGATGTGCCACGCTGATAGACTCCTACCCCAAAAGACTGAATTCTGTCATAAAATCTAAAGGTGCTTCAACAAAGTATTAGTTTAACCCCTTCGTGACTGACGACGTACAGTGTACGTCGCCAGCATCGGGGCTGTTTAAACAGACTCCCGGGACTCTGTTTAAACTTGTAGAGCCGACTGTCGGCTTTACAACAGAAGCGATCCTGGCGACTTACCTGTCGCCAGATCGCTTCTGCGTCCCGAAGAAGGGGCCACCCCCCCGCCGGCCACCCCCGCCGTGCTTCCCGGGCTCCGTTGCCCCTCCTACGGGCCCGGGACCGGCGATCTTTGTGTCCGCGGGGAGCTGGGGAGGAGGTCGACGAACTTCCGTTCATCGATCCCCTCCCCGTTCTATGGGACCGGGAGCGATGCAGATTGCATCACTTCCGGTCCCTGGGCTGTCAGTTCTGGGCTCCTGCAGCCCAGCTATAAGCTATTGAAGTGCGATCTGCACTTCAATAGCTTATTTCCAGTGTAAAGGTGACACTGAGGGTCTTTTGGACCCCCAGCATCACCTTAAAGAGGACCTGTCACCACCATCTGCTATTACATGGGGGGGCTTGCAAGCCCCCCCATGTGATAGCAGTCAAAGTAAAGTAAAAAAAAAAAAAAAAACAGTTTTTAAAATTAAAATGAAATAAAATAAATCTAATAATAATAAAAAAAAATTTTTAAAAGTACCCCGCCCCCGCGAGCACGCGCGTCGCCACGTAAACACGCGTCGGGTGCGCCTACGCATGAAAACGACGAACGCGCTACACATGTTGGGTATCGCCGCGCACGCCGGAGTGAGAGCAATAATTCTAGGGGCAGTATTTTGGGGTATCTCTAAATTGATGACCTGTGGGGGCTTTTAAAGTGTCTTTTATTGATTTTTTGGGGTACTGCAGTTTTTCGCCGTTTCACGGTCGCACGCAATCTGTAAACTGGGCATGTTGGGTATCGTTTTACTCGTTGTAACCTCATCTTTTATATTTCATTAAAAAAATGGGTAATTTGTTGTGTTTTGGGGCATTTAATTAAATTTGTCACTAAATTTTGGGGTTTAATAAGGAGTTGCGCTAATATTGCGCAACATAAAAATTTTCAACTACCACCATTTTATTCTATAGGGTCTTGGCATTCAGAAAATATATAATGTTGGGGGGTTTTACGTCATTTTCAGGCCTAAAATGTGGAATATAACATGGGTGCAAAAATGGAAAAAAGGGCCTCAGTCATGAAGGGGTTAAGGGTGTGTATATTTATGTACCCACATTTATTTAAGTTTTTTTATTTTTAAAAGATTTCAGTTTGTTTTTAATTGAATTTCACAGATTATAGGTCACATTAAAAAGGTGGAAATAAAATTCTGATGTTATTTGTCTTGGTCCATTTATTTTTTTTTAATCTAAAAAACCTGGCATTTTTACAAGGGCATGTAGACTTTTTTTATATCCACTGTATTTCTATACAATCATTTTACATTAAAAACAAATTACAGAAAGAAGTGATCAAAATGCACCTACTTTATTTAGAAAAGTTAGTGTATTGTGGTTACTTATGGCTCAAGTATGCTCTTAAATATTACATAAAACCATTTTTAATCACAAGACACAATGTTCAAAAGACGTTAGAAGAGATGAAGAAAGATCATTTTGCAAATAGATGAAGATATTAATATTCTAGAGGCAAGACATTTGATTGACATCTTTAATTTGCAGTCTGTTGTGCAGCATAATCATCCCTTTTCTGACATTAAAGATTTTAGAAGAGGGTTGTTCGGTATTCTGACAGGATCATGTTGGATTTAAGAAGGAAAAGGAGAAAAGTGCAAAATAATATCTACCTGAGCAGATTCAAATGTAATTGTTTTTGTCTCTGTCTGGACAATTGGAACTTCTTTTGTGGAAATTTCAGTTCTTTGTGTGGCATCAGAAATGGTGACCATCTCTGTTTTCACTACTGGAGGCTAGAGAAAAACGAGCATGTTATTTAACAATGGTGAAAGATTTGTCATTCAAAATATGAATCGCAACAGCACCTTTCTGTTGTTTGTGACTCTTGCCCTGTGTACAAATGTACGGTTCCTGTCTCAATTGATGTGTATTTGGTATGTCTGTAGATTTATGTTAAAGGAGAACTATGGGGTTAAGGCTTTTCCCCATAGTTCTCCTTAGGGTACCGGGAGGACACAAACTTGCGTCCTCCCGTCACCCTAGGCTCAGTATACCGCGAGATGTGGTTCGCGGTACACTGAGATGCCGCAGCTGAAGCGAATCCCGACAATTGTGCCGGGATCCGCCTAGCTGCGTGACTGACAGCTGGCTCTGCCTATCTAGAGGCAGAGCCAGCTGTCCCCGCCCCCTCCCGTTCCGCCAGTCAGCGCTGGCCGATCGGGGAGGGGGGAATCCAGCCCCTCCCCTGTCTTGGCAGAGAGCATATACAACTACCAATTCTTTACTCGTACGCACAGAAAAGTAATGGATTGATCCCTCTTGCAGAGAGATTTTCTAAAAAGTTTGAAAAATGTCCATGTTAAATAATGATTACCTCCAACTACCTTAGGTGCTCACCATTGTCTTCTAGTACATCAGAAAAGGACTAATTTTGCAAGCAATGTTTGAAATTGGGAGCAAGGCTTGTTTTTATAGAGCGGCTTATTGTTTGATTTCACCCAAGTTTATCGGTTTAGAAACTTCTGCCTATAAAATTATAAAGATCTACAGGTACAGTGTTTAGATGTTAGGTCAGCTTGGCCATAACTTATGCAAAAGAGAAAGGCGGAAAACAAAAAAGGAAAATATATGCATGTAGTGGTGCATAATTCTACATCTACAACCACGCTAGGTAAGAATCAATGCAATTTCATAGCACTACAAATTATTGTAGTACAGTAAGGTGACTACTGTCTGGGCTTGTGGTGTTATCTTATTCCATCACTCTGCAGAAGCACAGCAGAGGTCAAACTGGGTCCCTCCTTATCCATAATGCATTCCATTGTGCGATAGCATGTGCTTAATGCATGGATACTGTGCCTTTAATGCAACACAGCAGTAGGTATAGACCCTAAGGTTGGTTTTGGTCATTTTGTAGCAGCATAGAAACACCTGCTGGTTGTTTATATTAGAGGACTGGCAGAATGCGAAGATTATGTTGCAAATGAAAAATAGCTAAGATTTTAGTGAACTTTGAAAAAACTATTTCTCCTAATGTTTATAGATACAGATGTGAGTGGTGGCTTGTTTTAAAGAATATGTGTTTCATGATATGTTAAAACTTTAGTATGCATATTATGGGCACAGATTGACTTTAAACATGGAACTTATGGAAGTTCACCTAGCGCACTGCATTGTGCGATAGCATGCGCTGAATGCACAGGTGCCGCACCTCTTGCGTAATGCAGCAGAGTGTGAACTTTGGTCTTTAATACCTTCACATTAAAAGCAGCTATAGAGGTCAGAGATAACTTGTTTTAAAACTTTTTTACAGTTGCACTTTAATCCTTTCCTTGTCGCTGTGTGAATTTGTTGTGATATTTATCTTGTTTCTACTGATGTGACAGTTTCCCCTGTTTTCTTAGTATTCTGCCAAACTCTGCAAATAACTGACTCTAGCGGGTTTATAATCCAGTACCTTCATATATATCTGTCAAACGTAAATTAAATGTGTAATCATGGTCTGTTGGCTTGCAATAAAGTTTAGGCTATATTGCATTCTGGTAGAACAAGTAAAGAAGATGTCAGTAGTGTTAGTATATTTGGCCCAAGAGTTATGGACAGATCACAAGCCTATTAAAATTAGAGATATATATATATATATATACACACACACATATACATACACACATCTATCTATATCTATCTATATCTATATATATCTATAGATATATCTATCTATATAGATCGATATATCTACTATATCAATGTAGAGTACTTTTGCAGAGTGAAAAATGGGACTAGAGAACGAGACATATCAGTAGATATTAAAAATGGACTTACACATGCATAGTGATACACAATGAAGACATGTAACAAAGTGAAAAATGAAAACTATAATGGAAATAAATATTTCAAAAAGGTGTGAAAAATTATAACCCAGTAAAATAAGATAATGTAAAGATAATATGGACTACTGCAACAACTTTTTTGTGGAAACTGCTTGATATTTCTTAAAATACTTCGATTTTTTTTAAAATGGAAATATCTTCTCTAACAGCAGAAGAGTATGTTGCATAAAGCCTGATGTGTATAACCAATTTACCTCAGAGCAACAAATAATTTGAGCAGAAGTGTCATCAGAGTGAGAGATATCCCCATTCATTTTGTTATTTTCCTCTTCATGAACTTCATGGTCATCCTCTACAATCTCCTCTCCACTTTCATAGGTAGTAACTGTGATTTCCTGCGATATAACCTCTGTCTTTTCTTGAATCTGAGTAACAGTTATTCTCACAGTATGGTCTTCACTTACAAAACCCTGAGACTCATCTATTGGTTCATCTTCCTTTATTTCTTCTGCACTTTCTTCTGGTTCTTCCTGAAGAACATGCTCAGGTAACCTCTGTTCAGCTTTGTATTCTACTTCGTTTTCACTTTCACTACTACTATCATAAGAAGACACTGATTGCTTCTCATTTTTATCCAGTTCTTTCACTTCTTCAGTCTGCTCACTGGTATCTTTAGGGTGCTCAACATCTCCATTTATCTCAAGTTTGAGGTCTTCAGTAACCGCAGTGTTTTTAGTGTCAGAATCTGACTGCTTTTTTTCTTCCTCTACGTTCTCTACCTCATTTGAGTTCTACATGAAAAATGGATGAGGAAAATAAAATATATGAACAAATAAATCAAAAGAATTGAAAAAAAAACAAAAAAAAACTTAAGATTTCCATCTACATGGTGGACAAAAAAATGATGAAGTCAACTGAAAAGTGAAAATGTGATGGTGATTAAGATGAACAAATTGGTACTTATAGTACAATCTGAGCACCTCAAGAGCATCACTCAGTCCAGTGCGCATCCCTCTAGTTCTGGGCAGCAAAAGTTTCTGTGGGACACAAAATAACCAAGAGACACAAAATCAATACATTTACACAAGACAAGAACAAAAACAATTGTTCGGTCGTAAAAGACAGACAGCATAAGAAGAGAACACACATATGTTTTAAGGCACATAAGTGTCTTAAAAGTCAACACAAGTTTTACTTACAAACGCACAATAAGACACATATGCAAGTACTCTTATGTAAGTGTGACCTAATATACAGTGGGGCAAAAAATTATTTGGTCAGCCACCAATTGTGCAAGCTCTCCCACTTAAAAAGATGAGAGGCCTGTAATTGGCATCATAGGTAGACCTCAACTATGAGAGACAAAATTAGAAAACAAATCCAGACAAATCACATTGGCTGATTTGGAACAAATTTATTACAGACACGGCCACCAGAAGTGGTCCGCACAGCAGGAATCCCAGGTGTCCCATTCAGATGCAGCCCCTGTACCTATTCAAATAAATGAATGGGTAACAGCGGCCAAATCTGTAAGTGGCAGTCCGCATGTAAATGTATATGATACATGCGGTGTGGAATAGTTCACTGTCACTGGATGCATCTATCTTGCATCCAGGGACAGTGATCTTTACCAAATTGCATGCAGTCATATCATATACAATTACATGTAGACTGCCGCTTACAGATGCAGCGGACGTCACCCATTCAATTTCTTCAATGTGTACAGTACCATGTCTGAATTGGAAAACTGGCATTCCTGCAGAATGTCCAGTGTGAACGCGGCCTTACCGGAATCTGTTTTGAATTGCAGGTGTCATGAAAAGTCTCAATTTTTAGCACAAAAAGCATGGATTATTTAAAAGAACATTTAAAGTGTATTTAAACCCAAGAACAAAAATGTAATATATTGTAGCTTACCGTTTCTTAAATGTGGTGATTGTATTGGGTTTCTTTTTTTTCCTCAAGCTTTTTTCCCTTAATTTTTACCTGGTGATTCTGCCAGTAACACACTATGTCCTAGGATGACACTCACTGGTATTTATGGAGAAACAGCGTGGTCAACCTAGGAAAGAAGAATGTTAGGACTATAGAACACCTTCCTTTCTCTTCTTCCCCATAACACAGAGGAAAGGTGTTTGGTAGTCTTAACAATCTTCCTGATTGTTTGAGACAGGACCTCAGAGTGCACCGCAATATATTTCTGGCAGGATCAACGGAAAATATGTTTCACTTATTAAGCAAATATAACACAACACTTTCAGTTGCATATTTACCAGATGCAAATAAAAAAAAGTAACAACAGGAAGTGAAGGGAAATCTCCCAGTGCATTTACCAGGAAAACGGTATTTCCACTTTTGCAGTTAAATTTAGAGGGGAAAAAAAAACACCCCACTATAAAGATATTGTTAATTTAGCAGTTTCTTTGGTGAAGGCCTTTACACATAGATTGCAAGCTTTGAGCAGTTTGAAAGTAGAAGACCAAACTGAGGGACAGACTGAGCTTCCTTTCATGAACAGTATCCAAATCTAGTTTACAACTGATAATTTAATTTACCAGCACAGTACAGACAGGGTTCATCAGAGTAAACATAACTTCCCACAGCCATCTCCTTAACATTACATGGGGGGTGCTAGGTAAGGTTTTTCGGCAAGTATAAAAGCACTTCAATTGCAAACAGCAATGCTTATTTATTTTTTTAAGTTATCCTATGTGACACATAATAAATAGGGCTGCACCGATACCAGTGCCGATACTTGACATTTTCATGCGAACTACCAGGGTTGAAGCGGTTGCAGCTGGGACCTAGCTCTGGCGCTCCACCACTGTACTGAAATAATTAGTCGATATTGTTTTAGAAAAACTGTCACATGACAATAAACAAAAATGTATCAGTACTTGTAAGTACTTGGGCAAGTATCAGTACCTGAAACAAATGGTATCGGTGCATCCCTTTAATTTATAAAAAAAAAAATCATACATTAAAACAGAGATGTACAAATCCCAGGAGCTCCGTGTGCTCCTTACAAATGACAGCTGACTCCTAACTTTAAAAATTTTAGTCTAGTCTTGGAGCTCGAAAAGTATCTGTACTTGTAATTCTACCAAGTACGGTACTTGGTATCGGTGCATCCCTAAATAAAGCAGGTGTTATCCCAATTTGGCTGCAAAAGTGGAAATACATGTAAAGCTTTCATGGGGATCACAGACCGTGAACAAATCTTAACAGAGATTTTAACCCTCATATAGATTTTATTGCTATATCCCCATTAGAGAGATTCCCTCCATCTTACTGTGTTGACCACACAAGGAGTCAAGAGAAATCTCGCCGATGGTAAAAAGACAGAAATAAGGACACTACATAGCAGAGTGGGCACGCATTAGAACCCATTTCAGATTTGTATTGCTGAATGGGCCCTTCATTTCTAATAGGGAAAAAAAAGGATGCATAGGAAAATATACCCTTTGGTCATAATTAACTCAAATACCAATGCATTCTGACATACTTTGCTTCAGATTGCTTACACACACAAATAAATATATGTGTACACATATATTTGTTTATTGGAGTTGCCAATCACTTTTTTTCAGTAAACAAATGTCACATTTATTCTCTAATCTCTGATCAAATAACTCCATATACACTTATTTGTTTCAATGCGCTGCGTAGACGAGTATTTACCGCAATGCATGTTACACGCATCAGCGTTTTTCCGTGATCCCATTTATTTTAAATGCCAGCCCAACACACTAACCCAGCGTACCTTCGATGCACATGCATTGTAATGCACGGTAATGTGTTGTGTGAAATTGTAAAAAAATGCAACTTGTCTATTTCATGCGAACTACCAGGGTTGAAGCGGTTGCAGCTGGGACCTAGCTCTGGCGCTCCACCACTGTACTGAAATAATTAGTCGATATTGTTTTAGAAAAACTGTCACATGACAATAAACAAAAATGTATCAGTACTTGTAAGTACTTGGGCAAGTATCAGTACCTGAAACAAATGGTATCGGTGCATCCCTTTAATTTAAAAAAAAAAATATCATACATTAAAACAGAGATGTACAAATCCCAGGAGCTCCGTGTGCTCCTTACAAATGACAGCTGACTCCTAACTTTAAAAATTTTAGTCTAGTCTTGGAGCTCGAAAAGTATCTGTACTTGTAATTCTACCAAGTACGGTACTTGGTATCGGTGCATCCCTAAATAAAGCAGGTGTTATCCCAATTTGGCTGCAAAAGTGGAAATACATGTAAAGCTTTCATGGGGATCACAGACCGTGAACAAATCTTAACAGAGATTTTAACCCTCATATAGATTTTATTGCTATATCCCCATTAGAGAGATTCCCTCCATCTTACTGTGTTGACCACACAAGGAGTCAAGAGAAATCTCGCCGATGGTAAAAAGACAGAAATAAGGACACTACATAGCAGAGTGGGCACGCATTAGAACCCATTTCAGATTTGTATTGCTGAATGGGCCCTTCATTTCTAATAGGGAAAAAAAAGGATGCATAGGAAAATATACCCTTTGGTCATAATTAACTCAAATACCAATGCATTCTGACATACTTTGCTTCAGATTGCTTACACACACAAATAAATATATGTGTACACATATATTTGTTTATTGGAGTTGCCAATCACTTTTTTTCAGTAAACAAATGTCACATTTATTCTCTAATCTCTGATCAAATAACTCCATATACACTTATTTGTTTCAATGCGCTGCGTAGACGAGTATTTACCGCAATGCATGTTACACGCATCAGCGTTTTTCCGTGATCCCATTTATTTTAAATGCCAGCCCAACACACTAACCCAGCGTACCTTCGATGCACATGCATTGTAATGCACGGTAATGTGTTGTGTGAAATTGTAAAAAAATGCAACTTGTCTGTTTTTTTTATTTTATCTGCTCTTTTGGCAGCCCATTAATCTGAATAGCCTGCTTTAATGCATGCACCATAACGAATAAGTGTAAATGTGCACAAATACTAAGGACTTATTCTTGTAGTTCTCATTTTCCTGGCTTGGCACATGTGCCCTATTAAGAGTGCATGGACAGAAATGACAAGTAATAAAAACAGTAATGAAAAGAATGAAGAAAAGAAGTGCACCTCAGACAGTGGAGGGGAATAGGAAACACTAAGCATATCAGAAGGAAGACTATCATTCACTACATTCGCCTCTGTGGTCCGCTGATTAGATGAGGTGAAGGTGGAAAAGCTTTCTTTACTAAACAGAATTGATGTCATCTCTTCTTCTAAGCTCTAGATAAGTTAGAGAGTGGAGAGCAAGAAGTTAACAGAAAAGAAAGATCAAAAAGCCAGAGAAAAAAAAAAAAAGAGTGGAAACATCAAACAAAAGCACAAAGGTCTGACAGATAATCAACTGTTATGCAAGTGCTAGAGCTTGAAAATTAACAATGTCTCCACTATTAAAGGTATATTAAACGCAGAGCACACTTCCAGGATAAGAAAGCCTTGCCTCCAGAGCCCTACAGTGCTACTGCAAACCAGATGTCAAAATGTGTTTCATCCATATTATGTACAGCATTATCTAAATCAATGTGATCTAGCAAATCTAAACCACAAACTTTGCATTATAGTAAATGGTAAGAAATGACACTGCAGTTATTTGTATGACTTGTGCAAGAAAATAAAAAAATAGGGATCATATGTAAATTACAAAGCAGAGTTGTCAATAGTAAAAATATTGTGTATTAGCTCTCATTTTTATCAAGAATTTAAAAATACAAGTTGGAATTACCCTATTTTATAAATTGGGCCTATTAACCTCTGTGTATGTGGTAACAGCTTTAACTCCAATCCTAATTTGAAGATCTTATGCTCAAAATAATTATCCCGTATGATTTAGCTTATGGCTCCTGTTCCAGCCAATAGACCAAAGAGGAGTTATACTTTCTCTTTAGGGCATATTATGCATACCTTACACAAATGCTATCATTATTGACACCAGGATAATTTTTAAGATGGCTGAGGCAAAACATTGAATACATGTATTTTGTATTGTTGTACAAAATTATCTAAATAATACTGGAAACAAGTGCACAAAAAAGTTGTTTTTTTATGTGACAACTGATGTTAGGCTTAATTCACCAAGTTATAATGCACACTTTATCTACCGTAACAATCGTTTTTAGCCATGTGACTGTTATTTGAAACTTTCATTGGCTCTCTTGCTGAAAATAATGGCTACTATGAAAAATAATTGTTACAGCTTGATAAACTGATCTTACTGTATAATGCCACACACTGTGTTAATATCTCTCTTACCTTTACTCCCTGAAAAAAAATAGGATTTGTTCTTGAGAGATTTTTCAACAAGCTGGACAATCTCTGAGTAATAAGTGCTTCCAACAGTAAAAATTGTGTATAGGAGAAAGTGGGTCCTCTAAAGTTTATAACTGACAAACACTGTTTAGTAAAACAAATACCCTTTGTTAATGTAATTATGTTAATTAAAAGTTAAGTTAGCACTTAAAACCTTTATATATACAAATTAAAAATAAGAATGATAAAAATTGAATACCAACTGGACCTGTGTTGGCTTAGCCTCTGGTAAGAGTTGCAAGACATCTGTACATAGTGGCTATTACTTATAACTTCTGAAAGTAATCAACTGTGTTTCATGTTCATACATGTAATTTTAAAAGATGGGGTTAAAACTTCGAACAAATATTTTTATCTTTGTCTGTAAACAAAATTGTCTAATGTATGCTAAAAAAAAGGGAATTAAAGCTGCTTCCGTTAGCAACTAGATATGATAAAGAAAGATAAAAGGTGATGGCTGTCTCATATTCCATACAGTTCCAGTTTTCATATATCAGTTCCCTAAAACAGTTTTCAATGACACAGTCCATTAGCCTCTGATACTAGAACAAGCTTTTCTTTCGGATTATTGTACATGATCCCATAAAGCTACATACCTCATCACATATAACAAGAACAATAGTTCATTTCTTCTATTCTGGCCGATTCTCTGGTCTCTAACAGCAGTTAAGTGTATTTGTAATAGACACATATAACCTTCATACTCCAGGGTGCGTGCAAAAGAAGAAAGCTTTAACATACCCCTTGTGTCTGCAGGGATATAGGTGTAATACAACGCTTTTCCCATTCATTGGGACGAGGCTCTGTGGTAGATTCCATGAAACTGCGTTTAAGCTCACTAATGCTAGCCTGATGTTTCAATATTTCCTCTGGAGACTTATCCAAATCCTAACAATGAGTAAGGAAAAAAAAAAAAAAGGACACAAAAGAAACAAAAAAACACAAATTTGGGTTAAATTATGTTAGCTCTAATTCAATGTTAAAGAAACATGTCTGATTTGAAAATGAAGAGGATGATTTTATAAAATGATACTGAAAACTAAAGTGTTTTTTTTACCCATTAGACGAATACCAACATACAGTTGGTATGAAAATTATTTTAGGAGAAAAAAGAAAACGATATATATATATACTGGCTGATTGCCACTGAACTAATTTCAGAGCCTTCACATCAGATCAGACATTTTTCTTGAATTCATCAAATTGTTAAACAAAAGACATTTCTGTCTTTGTACCCTATAATTATTTGTGCTCCATTTCCATGTTACAAATAATGAAAAAATGAAACACATTTCTCCATAGGCAGCGCAAAGCCAAAGCAAATCTTTGATTGATAAGCCAAGATTCAGTAGGTCAACTGAGCTTGTTAAAAAAAGCAGCAAAAAGCAAAAATCGGCAATTAGTCTGGTTGTTATAACCTGGTGAATAACATAAAAATGTTAATGTTAGCAGAACAAACAGGAAACAATAACTAATGACTCGATGTGACATAGGGATTGGTGGTCAGCACAGGTCAGTACCAGTTGTTATACAATAAGTTAATTAAAAAAAAATAGAGCGATGGTATAATCATGTTCTCTTAGCCACATACGAGTGTGGTGTTCACCTTCCTACATGGGGGGCTAAGCAAGGTATAGATGGGGCAGACCCCACTCATGGCTCTTGCGGCCCATAACCAGGCCTGGCTATTATGGGGGGGGGAACCCCCTTTCCAGTTGGGCTTACCATGCACATGGCTTAATCTAATGATAATACATCAGAAATAAATGTGATTGGCAAGCGATGTAGTATAAACTTAATTATAAAACATAGTTCTCTAAAGGCAACAAGTAGACAGAAATGTAAATGAAGAAATAACTAGGTGGATCATTTACAAAGCATCTGAAATAAGGGACAACAGGGTTGAAACTGTCCTTTTTTACAATCCAAGGGTGAAAATAAATTAAATTGCCATGGGCAACAAAGACAATTTTAAGGCTACCCACAGTAAGGCAGGTGATGAGAAAATTGACTTATCTTAGCAATTACTTGAGATTTGCCACAAAAACCATCCAAAATTGGTCAGAGTTTTAAACACAGCCTAACACATTTGCAAGTGTAACAAGTAATCCCAAAGCTTGTGTGCGTTCTTGAGTCCTAAACAATACAATTCCCAATTACTATGAGCTATGCTTTGGTGGGTTGCTACACTTGCAAATACTGGAATAATAAGGGCATCCCTATATTGGCCACATTTCTGTAATGTGTTCTCTACTGTGCCTTCAACCATAGACATGGCATGGGATAAAATCTGTGCAGGGCTGCTACTTCCAGTTGCCACACACAGCACTGTATAAGGTACCTAAAAAGGAAAGATTCAGACAAAGTCACAGCATGCACACTCTGGCAGGTCCGAGCCCATGCATTTCATGCATTGTGTTTATAGCAGCAGTCTGCATGTGCCAGCCCCACTTTGCAACAGAGACAGATCATCTAACAAGTTGCTTTCATACAAACCTCCAACATTAAATTGCTATGTCTGACATAAATATTTTCTCCTTGTAGTCTCAAAGACTTGCTCTGCGAAATTAGAAAATGGAAATAAAATATAAAGCAAAATAAACAAGCAGGCCGTGGGTGAGAAACGGACTGATGTGTAAATGTTCAGATAAAATAAAGTTGTTCTAGTCCTGTAAGCAGCACTCTTTAAAGCTATCCTATCAGAGAGAAATACATGCGCTGCCACTGCTGAGCACCTGAAAATACTAATTGTATTGCTAGTATGGCGACACAAAACATGTCTACACATACAGAAAATCTATAAAAAAATGTCCTTATCTGCATTGTGGTTACCAGTCAATGGCTTCAAGTATTGAAACAAAAGAGGGACCCTGCATGTCAGCCAGGCAACTAGCACTTTGAAGAGGAAGAGGTCGGCAATGCAAGCCTCCATATTTCTCTCATGACAGGTTTCCTTGAGTGACAACTTCTATACTTTACAACTACTATAAAAGATAGGAGGATTTTTCATGCTGCTGGAACAGGCATATAATGGAAGACCCAAAATGAAACTCAATCCAAGCAGAGCAGTAAATTGACAACAAACACACCAAACTTTACACACCATCCACTTATAGAAACATTTGGCAAGCAAAAATGTTCCAAGTAGCATTCAACACCTGTTTCAGGGTTTCGTCCTCTTCCTTTTCCAGATGGAGCATATGAAAATCATCAGTAGTAAGAAAGAGTGGGATTAATGCAAAGAAATGTGCAACCAATACTACAGAAATTTAGAAGTAGTATTTATGAAACTATGAAACTTAAAGTGCAAATCCAGCCAACATTTGATGTTGATCTGATGTTGTCAGATTTGATTGCTAGAAAAAGAGTGTCTCTCTCTCTCTCTCATAAAAATTGGAAGGTGATCTATTTTAAGTTTAAAAAAAAATAAATGAAACAAATCCTATTTTATAAACTCAAATAAAATCACTTTGTATAAAAATAAAATATAATTTGCCATTTCTAAAGCACTGATCAGATATGTACCCTAATATATTTCTCTTACACAATTAAACGTTACTATATGTACCAAAAACACTAGGGCTAAAACTAATAAATCGATAAAGGTGATAATAAATCGAGAATGAAAATCGTTGTCAATGATTTTCATTATCAATGAGTTGGTCGCTCGATTAGTTGGGCTCACCCTCATTCCCTCCTCACCTCACTCGCATGCTGACTGTTCGGGCACTGCCCGAGGACCAGCGAACTCTTCCTCTCCAGGACAAATAGGGCCGTTCTGGCGTCCCCTGGAGTCCCTCCCCTGCATGATCTTTTCCCCCCGGGATGAAAAGGGCCGTTCCACCGTCACTCGGAGTCCCTTCCCTGGAAGATCTCTTCCTCCCCGGGATAAATAGGACCGTTCCGTCGTCACCCGGAGTCCCGGGGACTGTTCCTGTTCTGGACCCGCGCCCTCCCCCATGTCTCAGCCTCCTCCTTCTCCTCCCCAGGCTGCTCATTAAATTGTGGACGGGCTGAACAGAGATGTACAAGTGTAAGTACCGTGTGCGTATTATGTGTTGCATGTGTGCTTTAGTGCGTATTATGTGTGCCGTGTGCATATTATGTGTTGCATGTGTGCTTTAGTGCGTATGATGTGTTGCATGTGTGCCGTGTGCGTATTATGTGTTGCATGTGTGCATTATGTGTGCCGTGTGCGTATTATGTGTTGCATGTGTGCCGCGTGCGTATTATGTGTACCGTGTGTGGTGAGTGGAGTCAGTGGCATAACAACTGGGCGGGGGTGGGTGGGAAGACCCCTGTATTCTGAGGCGGGACAGGGCATGCCTGTGCCATTAACAATTTTTTGGTGATTGCACTGTGCCATGTGCGTTCTAATGCAGGTGATCGCAGTGCGGGTGGGGGTGGGGGTGTGTCAGGGGTGTAATTGACCTGAATGGCAGGCCCCCTCCCGCCCAGAATGCAAGGAGGCTTCCACTATGCGATTCAGTGCGTTTTTGACCACTAACTTTCAGAACACACTGGAGATGGTGTGAACCGGCCCAAAAGCCTGTGAAGCCCATGACACACTGCACACGGAGCCGCACGCGCAAAAGAAAAAACGGCAGTGTGTGGAGCTTTGCGTGCAGTGTGTCTAGCAATATCCTCTCCCTGGCTCAGCTAGGCGAGATGAAAAATGTAATCTCAAGCCAAATCGGCTCACACGTATGAATCCACACATCAGGACGCGGATTCAAGCGTGCAGCCAAACTTATACCCCCAGATAAGGTTGTGTGGTGAGGAGTCCAGGAGAGAAGTCCGCTTGGTAATGTTTTCCTTCCTGCACAAGTTCATCCCTGTGATATATGTCAGGCATGAGAGCTATGCAGAAAGAATATGACATGTCCATTAAATAATTAACAATATTGATTAAATAATAGTTATTGATTAAATATTTCAATACGTTTTATTAATAATTACCGAAATAATGTATCATATTAAATTAAGCACATTGTTTTTATCCGATTAAGCTAAAAAATAATCGGCTAATCGATTATGAAAATAATCTTTAGTTGCAGCCCTAAAATACACTTCTGAAACTATCTAACCAAGTAGATGTGCAGGTAGACAGTCCACTGTTTAGAACATATAAAGCAAGGCTGTACATACATGGCAGAAAATTCTGAACCATGTACTAGAGTACATTTCAATGAGCTGTCTTTTATGGTTTGTTTTAAAACATGATCTGACGGGCAGCCAATGTATTTAAATTTTCTTTTGTGGTCAATAGGTAGTCTATGACTACTTGAAGTGCAAGCTCCCCTCTCCTACATTTTCTACCTCAATATATTAATCTGCATTTGTCTTCTCAGTTACATTTGGTTAAGTTCTCCTAATTTTCATAATTCTTCACCTTACCACAGCATCCTGGCTCTGTCAAATTCTTCTGCCATAGGTTTTCTGTTAGTACCGGCAAACCCTTAGGTCAACACACAATACAGTTGCTGGAATCACCATAAATTCACTATCTGCCAGTAATGCATAGTCAATCACAGCAAAGAGAATAACTAAAAATAGGGCTAAACTTGCATGAACAAATAAAAAGCTGGTAGCTTTATGGCAGAAGAGATATTTTCTAACTTTTTTGCCTGAAAGCCACTTTCCTTTCCCAACAACTAAAAAGAATGACTGCAGTGCAGTGTACAATTCTGGCATCTGATAAATGCAGAGAGTAAGAGCTATGTGCCAGAACAATGCAACTCCCATGCACAAGTGCAGGACTTGAATCATCTATGGTTGACCAATGGCTGAAGACTGATTTCTGGACTTGTTGCACATGATTGCCAAGTGCTCTAGGGTGGTTGTGCAGTACATACAGTTCCACTAAAATGACTTTTGGAATAAACCCAAATAGTATTAGACAAAATATGTAATTAGATCACATTTTACCTATAGACACCTGACCCAGAGTGAAGCAGTAAAATACAGTTATCCTGCAGACTACTACCAAACAAGCATGGTGAGCAAATCTTTTGCTACATGTAAAACATGAATTTGTAAACACGAATTAGAAACAAGATTTTAAAATATTAGCAGCTTTTTATATTATTTGTATAAGGCTATTCCCGTTCATTTATAGCAAAATGTTGTAAATACCATATTAGAAAAACTGTAATTTTAAAATACATTGATAGCAAAATTAAATACCTAAACTACTTGAACCTGTATATTTAATTCAAGAGATGGTAAACTTACACATCAAGTGCCTCCTGGCTGTCTCTTGAATTCAAGCTTACAAATAGAACTCCAGCCAAACCTTTTTGGTTCTAGTTTTGTACAGAGAGGGGAAGGGTAGAACATCTAGAGTTTTATCAGTTAAACGAATCAAAAGCGCCAAACTATGACCACCAATTGAAAAATATAAAAACGAGGATTACTAGGGGTGCTGCCCCACTTCAGTCAGGGGAGCTGCAACACTATGGGAAAAGAACAAAAGAGAACGGCGCCCACCCTAGTGTAGATTGTTTTTAATAAAAGCTGCAAAACAGGATAAAAACATACTATAGTGTATCAGAATAAAAGCTTTCAAGCAAAGCCTGGATGACATCTGTAATGGGCTGCACAGTCATCTGTGTAACAGCACAGAACTCCTTCGTTTACGCGTTTCCGGGGTCACCCCCCCTTCGTCAGAACGGTCTGACGAAGGGGGCGTGGCCCCGAAAACGCATAA